GGGGGCGTTGGGGCGGGCTGGGATTGGGGTAGGCGCACGGCCGTGCCCTTCTTACTGTGCGGAGCCACTTGGCCAGGCGATGGGAGCGCGGGTCTTGAAGGTGAGGGTTGCCGCACAGCCGCGCTCTGCCCCTGGGTCAGGTCCCGCATCGCGGTGGGGGACTCTCTGCGGCGCCCTCTAGCCATGCACGCGGACGCGCCCGGGGGCGTGGCCTCACTCAAGCTCCGCCCGACCCCGCCGGCTACGGCCTCCAGTGCAGCCTTCGATTGTGAGAATCTCTCGGGTACCCGGCTTGCTTCCTCGGGTCTCCCCGGAGAGTAGTACTTCGCTGCTGTCTCCTCACCTGCTGCTAATCAATTGAGCATCCTCTCTGAAAAAATCCAGCGGATTTCTGCAGCCCTCGGGTTAGCAGTGAGTGCCCAGCCAGGCGCAGGGCATGGGTGTTAGCGGCTCACGGGTCCCAAGAGAACCCCTGCCGTTTATGGTTCAGATTCTGGCTCGGCCCATTTCCAACGATGGGGCCTTGGACAAGAAATTTAATTCCACTGAGCCTCAGTCTTTCGTCTGTAGAACGGGAAAAAAGCGCATTGATAGGGTTGCCAGGCGTATTTGATGATTTTGCCCTGCGTCCTGTATTGACTTTGTCCCACCCCCTGCCGATTGCGACTCATAGTGACCCTATAGGACCGACTAGAACTGCCCCATAGGGTTTCCAAGGCTGTGAATTTTTACAGAAACAGACCGCAACATGTTTCCCCCAGAGCGGCAAGTGGTTAGCAGTCAGCGCTTTAGCCACTGCACCACCAGGGCTCCGTTGACTTTGCCAGGATGCCTTAAAAGCCCAGTACTCGTTTTTTAAATAAATTACAAGAATGAGAGCTATTTTTCCACTGTTATTAGAAATTGGCACTTAAATTACTTAAATGGCAACGCTAGCTGAAAACTCTACCTCCATAAATAAAGATCTGGACAACCCTATGATGTCTCCTGCAGGTTTAGCT